GGAAGATGTTATACCACCGCTACCGACCTGGGATGTTGTTTCATTTCTAAGAATACACCCATTCAGGCTTAGGATTATAATTTAATTAAAAAAATACTCAAAATAAATAATTATTATTTATTTACCACTATCGGTCTTGATAAACGGCACGTCAAGCTATACTGCCACCAAACTATTATAACAGACTACACTATTCCACTCAACAGGCCTGATATTTTGTTCGTTTTGAAGGATAAGAGACGTGCAAAGATTGTTGAAATAGGGGTGCCATCGGATGATAACCTTTACAAGGTGGTTGTGGAAAAAATTCGCAAATATCAAGACATTTGTAAGGAGCTCAAGCAATTATATAAACTTGATGAAGTGAAGGTTTTGCCGTTGGTCATCTCTGCAAAGGACTAGCAGACCTGCTATGTCTGATTCCGGACATAACAGTGGGTCCATGGAGGAATTAGGCCTTTCGATGAATTGTTTGGAGCTGATGCAGAAAGCGGTGTTACTCGGAACAGCTAGTGTATTGTTCGCAAATTTAAAAATGTAACAGATTAATTTGTTAACCTACCTTTGACGTAACTTCGGGTTATGTACTATAACCAGCAAATGCTGTGAAACAAGGGATTTCCCTAAATAATAATAATAATACTTTATTTATTCTTTGACGAAATCCTTTAGAATAATACAGAAAGACAGAATAGAATAATACAGACTGTGGGCTAAGGAGCCTTAGAAATACATCAACAAAAATACAGAATAATTAAATAGTCCTAATAAAAAAATTATAAGTTACTTTCTAACTTAAATCAGTTAATAATAGATTTTTACAGGTTTTAAAAAAATACAGTTTTTTTCTCAATATTTATAAAACCATGCCAGAAATTGCGGCCATTTCCGCTTTAGTTAGGACCTTTCTTGGAAGTAGTCTCTTTACCATTAGTAACCCTTCTTGATTGAAGGTTTCGGTGGCACAACCATCTGGGATAGAAAATCCGTTACTACAAATCCATCTTGAACCAAAAATTTTATGAAATATGTTCAGGTTAAAGGTACATACTTGTAATAAGGGAATACCACGAAAAGGAATACTACGATGCAACCTGAAAGAAAAAGGTTATAGTGTAAACAAATTAAAAATAACAGATTAGGTTGAAGTTATGTTTTTTATACATGTACATGTATGCAGGATATACAATCCCTCAGAGGCCAATTGTTACAAGAATTACTGCTAACCATCATTCAATTTTAAACGGTTTCATGAGATATTAATCATTAATTTTCGATTTTTTTTTTCGCATTGCATAATTCTGGCACAATCGGAAATTACAAGAAATTTCATATCAGTTAAAAAAAGCATCAGAACTTTTTTAGCTTGAAACACATCCGTCTGGTAATTTTTTACACCGCCGTTCAATAAATGCCGAATCTTGGGTCTTTTATAATAAAAGTATCGCCTGTTACATTTTGTTACATATTCATAACTGTTACAGATTTGTCAAATGCGTATGATTTGATGAATTATTACGACTTATGAGTTTATAACCCGAATTCTAAACGTATTGTTTTATAGAGAGTGTGGAAACTTAAAATTAATTAGTATGCTTCGCTCATATATTTGTGAGCTTGTTTGGAGAAGAAGATTTTAACGTTTAGTTTTGTCAAATAAAATATTACGGTTAATGAGTAATGTTTGGCCTCCTGAAAATTAATATTGTTAAATATTTAGAATATGTGTGATTATTAAAATTAATCCATTTTGTGTTTATTTATTTTTTTATATTAATTTTCAATAAAATTTTGATTCTTTTATAACATATGGTTCCTAAATAATACCTGTTCTTTTACTAAAACTAATTGGCGACACTTAAGTAAAAAAGACCCGGCATCTCTTTATCTCTGTTGGATAAAAAATAGTACTTATTGTATTTAGAATTAAAAGAATAAGAATAAATTATTTTCTGTAATATACAAATTACGAATTTTCGTTATATGACTATTGGTGATTGGGAAATGACGAATTTTCGTCGTGCGCACGAATGTTTGTTAAGGTTTGATACATGAAAAATCGAGTGATTAATAATTCCACTAAACTTTGCATAGTTCAGTTCAGATAATTTTCTAATTTAAGACTAATGTTCCATATTTAATAATAAAAATTAGAATCGTTAACATTACTTGTGCCACTCACAAATATTTTAATATGACTTTTGCCCTTACATGAATTACAATAATCTACAGAACTTCAGTGCCGTCACTTTTCAACATGTGTATTTAAATATTCAACAGCGTTTATTTAATGGAAAAATACTCATAACTTAATAAAACATGACCTAAATAAAAAAAGACATTTAAACGATACAATTGATATTTTTTTTTTTAATCATTAAAATTACTTTGGAGAAATATCAAAAACACCTAAGAGCTTTATCGCTTTCCATCAATTAGATTTATTCGTTTTCAATTGTTTAAGGTTCAAGAGTTCAATATCTTAAGGTAGTAATGTTAATTTTCTTTATTTTTCAATACACAAACAAATAATTGTATGCAATTCTTTAGTGCCTAGAACAACCCCTATGGTAACAAATAATGAAAAAATTTTATGTAAAAAAAATTATAGTAAGTTTAATTACTTGGATATTATTTCTAGATTTTTAAACAGATCATTAACAATAATATCAAACAAAAAGTTCCTAATATAGATTTAAAACCCATCAATTCAGTCCTATTAATTGTTAAACCCGAATAATGGCAGAATTGAAAGATCTGGAACATAATCGATGATTGATTTAAGTTATATGTATACTTGGAGTTGAACTGAACTAAACTAAATGTTCGTGGGTGTGCCTCTTTACAAAAGTATAGAAATTCAAAATTCATCCATTATTTCAATATTTTCCGCCATACATAGCCGTTGGAAGAGTTAAAATAAAACAAGAAAGTTTGAAAAGAAAAACGAACAAAAGTCTAAAAATAAAAAAAAAAATGAAAAAGCTACTTCCAACTAAAGAGGAAAGTAATCATTCTGGTGAACGCTGAGGAATTCGAGGACGAAATACCACCAAACACCACAAAATTTTCATTCTAATATATTTTATAACGAAAAGAGAAAATGTTGTGACAAGACGGGATTGTGTAAAAAAAAAAAAAAGAATTTTGAAAATTAAAGTTTAAAATCTAAATGTTTGAAAAATAAGATTGTATAAGACTGAATTGCCAGAAAAAATCAAGGATAATTCGTTCAAGATATAATGAAAAAGAGAAAAAAAATAATTGTTGCATTATGAATTAGATTAGAAGAAAATTCCGCAAAACGTTATTCAGAGCGAGAAAAAAGAGACATCGCTAAAAAAATATTGTATTTATTAGTATGTAAGAAAACGAAGTCATAGAACGAAGAAGCTATCGAAACTTTATTAAGGCAAGGTCATATGAAAAATCATGCATACGAATTACGAATTTTAGATTGATAATGAAGCTTTTGTTGGCTTATTTTTAAAGTTATCAGTTACTGATACTTGTAAATTTATAATAAGCAATGTTTGTTTTTACTTACCTATTACAACAAAGTTTTCTAACATGAACCAGAAGTAATGTAGGATAAATCCGTACACTCCTAAAAACCCATACAGTATGCAAAGCACACTGTTGGAAAGGAGCCAAGCCCAGACCAAATTTTCTTTGTACTGTAAAATTAAGTTATATATTACTTACTTATAACCAAGTACCAGATAAGTATGCAACTGCTTATGTATATTTGTAAATGTCGATATTTTTATGAAACAAATTTCAAATAAATATCATGACTTGTGCTTATACTGGAAAATTCTGCTCAGCCAAGACCAATCACAACATATCACTTTTATTTCCAATTACAATGCCTAAATGCCTTAAATAAACAAAGCACAATACCTTGGACGTTTGACTGAAGAATGACGTGGAGCCTAATTATCAAAAAAAAAAAAAAGAATATCGTTAAACCTTAGACTACGAATATTATACTCATTTCTTTCAAGACGCTCAAAAAAATACCTAAAGCAGAAACTGGACACTTACATTTATACCCGCATATCTATGAACCTACGCTTCATAGACATATGGCAAAACCAAAACGACCCACATACGAAAATTACAAAACGTTTTAGTCAAAAACATTCAGGACTATAACTAAAGCTCTATGGGACATCACAAACATCACTTTACATGGATACCTTCACATGCTAACGGTTCACATGCCAACAACGATCACATACAGACATACTACAAAAGTTTTTACGATAACTTACATGGCTATACTAACACACTTTTACAAGATATGGCTACAATTAGCATGGGAAGCTCAAAAGAACCTAGATAAGGAATCTGCTCGCTTAAAAAGCAGTAACCATCGAAGAGTGACAAGAATAATCTGATAATCCTTGACAGATTTATCTAAATCTCAAACATTTATCTCACAACCTGATTAGTATGTATACCACTATATTTGATTTGTCAATAAAAGGAATAAAGTCGATCATGGTGATGATATACACAGTGGACAAAACACTATTTTTGTGAATATTCACCAACACTAATATTCAATTCAGTCAGGCTAGACAACCTTTAACTCGTAGACAACCTTTAGGTACAATTCATACAGTGAGAGGAACACTTGGTAGAAGAAGCCGCGGAATTCAGTGGAGATTGTGTAAGAGACTTGGGAACCTCGACTATCTCTCCCTCTTCAAGCCCAAAGGTTCAGGGACTTGCGTTATAAGTTGAATACTCTTTGCCAAATCGCGAATCGAGTCAACTTAAATATGAATAAAAATCAATGTACGCAAAACATAAGAAACGAGGACGAAGTAGCGATGGCAGAATTTTTTTTTTAAAATCTTTTTATTGAGAAATAATACATTTTGCCACATTTAAGTGCACTGAGTACTAATGCTGAGTGAGCCTCATTCATACTATATATACAATGCAATAAAAAAATAAATAAATAAAAATTAAAAATATACATCCAAAATAATAAAGGTAAAAACTATAAAACCAAAGAACTGTAACTTGAAATCAAATTAAAAAAAAATACAGAAATTGATAGCAAATTAAATAAGTCATAAGTAAAACAAATAAATATATTATAAAGAAAAACATTAATACTTAATATAAAAAAAAGAAAAACATTCATATTTAATTTACAATCAGCCAAGGGAGTTCCGAGTCCCTTTCCCCCCTTTTCCCCCTTTCAGCCCTTTCCTGCACGTGTGAAGGACAAAGCGAGACTCTAACAGATCCCTGCGTTTCTCTCTCAGCCGCGTCACCGGCAGGAGTCCAGTGGAAACAGAGAGGGCACTAAAGCACTCATGACGAGAGTGGAGAGGCTGGCCATTGTCAGAACTCCAGTGGCAGTCTTTACAAAAGGTCTCGAGGCCACTGCCGTTTCAACCTTCGAGGAGAGTTGTAGGGGTGACTGGAGCTGGATAAGGACTGTGCTAAGGAGTCAGGATGGTGGATTAGGTTCAGATGAAAATTTGAGAATCGAGATGGAATAACGTCAAGGACATAAGGGATGTAAAGGTGATGATGTAGGGTTTTGTTTGTAACATAATAAGGAGCATTGACTATTATACGGAGGACTTTAGACTGAAAGGATTGGATGCGTTTGATGTTCGAAAATGGCAGAAAATTATAGTCTTGATAGGCGACAGTGTGAAATATGTTGATTCCTTTGTCTACCTGACTTAAGATGCGAAAAGTCGCACAAAGAAGACCAACGGAGCTTTTCAACTATTTTAGGTTTGGAAGAACAGAAATCTTACTAAAACCACAAAAATAAGGCACGTTAATAAAAATGTGAAATTGGTTCTGCACTATGGCTGCGCAGCATGGAATGTCACGAAAAGAATCACGCATCCACTACTGACTACTCAGAATTCTGTGCCCAGAACGCATATCAATTGAGAAAATGAAATGTAGAAAGACACCAATCTGATCCCGATCCATGTGAAAATAAAGAAACGAAAATGGAAATGGGAGAGTACATCCTGAGGAAAGAAGATGAGGCTATACAAAAAATCCAATGGAATCTCCAGGGAAAAGAATGAAAGGTAGATCAAAAGAAAGATAGCATGGGTCCTTAAAGAAGGGATTAGGAGTGATTGGTAAATCATGGAAAGAGGCAAGGAGGATCGTTGCTTTACGGAACGATTGGAAAACTCGTGGACCCTCTTTCCTCAAGTGGGAGTCAACCCAATTAATAATAATAATAAATTCATAAATGTGTTCCATAACATTACATCAAATATTAAAACTGTATTGTGCACACTCACAGAGGTGGATAAAGGATCCTAACTCAATGATAAAAATAAGTTAAAATTTATTTAATAAAATAAAGCCATAACATTTAACAATTTCCTTTTAAATTTATTCGATTATATAGTACAGTTTTTTTTTTTTAATTTAGGTTCATTCGGGATACTCTGTTATCTGGGTTTAGCTGTATCCACTTACCGCTTAATCCACCTCTGAACTTCGTACTATTCCATCATATTTCTATCTCAAATTTAATCACTGAATTCTAAATGTGGATATTCCCTTACTTTTTATTTTTTAATTCAAATATTATTTTTATTAAGAATATGAAGGAACGGAAAATACACTTTATTTTTTATTTCTCACCACCGAAGGAAGCTTTCAATTTGAGCGGGAGGTTCGAAAAAAATTATGCTCAGATTAGAAAATAAAATACCACTTTTCTTTTACTTTTTAGACATCAGGGAATAAATTTGAATCCACTACTGTCTGTTTGTACATAGATATGAAGGTGTTTTTATTTTATTTGTTTATTTTTTTTTCTTATTTATTTACTTTTTTTATCAGTATTATTTATTTACTTATTCATATTTATAGTTATTTCTCTATTATTTGTATTTACTGTATGAACGAGAACTTTTAGCCTTAATACTTATAGCCCTCCAACAGTGGCTAATTGTATTATTATTCAATAAATAAAATTATTATCGTCAACTATCGTCTGTTTATATGTAGTCAAATTCATGACTTCTCACCTACTTTTAATGGAACATTCAATGATTGTGTGAGTTGGAAACTTGTTGGTCCTATATTAATTATTCGAATTTTATCCACACATAAATATGTTTTATTAAACAGAATTTATATCGGAAACTAATAGTTCGATTTGGCTCTAAGCTGAAAGAAAGTTTAGGATTGATGAAAAAGTAATGTCGTATTAATTTTATCGAATCCCATCAGCTATGTACTTCAACATATGCCCAAAAGAATTTCCTTGGTAGGGCTAATTTAGAAACTGGACCATCAATCATGCCCAAATTTGGAGAGCAGAGTTTTGCATTAGTAAAAAAATGATCAAGTACGTATTGATTTCATAAAATTCCCCCCACTGCATTAAAAAAATACTTTCGTTTTTGGATCTGCAAACGTATTGAAACGCCCATGGTATATTTCGAAAAGAGCTCGTTCGATTTGTCACAAATTTAGGAAACAAAATGTGGAAGGCAGTGAATATATGGAAACGGAAGTTACATGTATACAGTACTTAGATTTTTAACACTATTTGAATATTTAATTTGAATTATGTTCTTTAGTCGAACCTACGTGACAGGTATAACATCTAATGTAGTTAATACGATTTGATGAAGTTTTCAGCGATTGTGAATGTTGATACCAAGAAACTTTAATATATATATTTCATTTAATTTCGTCATTCATTCGTTTAGATGTATATTTTTCTCAACGATTTTAAGAAAACTTTAAAATCGGTGTCTTTTCCTTGATAAAACTATTCGAAAATGGATTCTCCTTTAGGTGGTTTTCAATTATTTACATACCTTGAAATATAAGGTCATTATGTAACCAATAAAAATAGTGGGGAAGCAATATTGACCTTTGAAATATTTTTTTATTGATATTTAAAAAAACTTGAACTGTCTATCTTTTAAAATTCAGTGATTAATTTTTTGTCCTAAATAAGTATGCTATTACATTAAAAATTCCCCAGAAGAGAACGCAGGAGAAACTTATCATAATTGACGCTAAAATGCTTGAGACAACGTGGTACCCATGATGTGATGTCTCTTCATTATCAGGTAAAAATACGGCGAAACTAACTGAAAAATAATTAATTTATTATTATATTTAATTTGTTTGTAATCAGTATACAATTTAACAAATACATAATAGAGATGGGAGTATTACTAATCAACGATTAAAACCATGATTCCGATTATGATGGAGATTCGAAGAAAAAAAAATTGTATTACATGAAATTTAATATGATTGAAACTGAATTTAATAGTAAACATGGTTTACTATGGTTTAAATGGTAAACCATTTAGTTATGGTTGTAATCGCTCTATTAAGTCATCAATCATATTAATTGTAATCACTACTGTATTAATCATTTTCATGTAACTACAAAGTTCAAAGCCTAAAATGTTATTTTATGATAAATCTATTAATATTTATAATAATTATAGAATACTTGTTGGTTGACCGTGGTATATATTATTGAGTAAGAAGATGATTCAGGATGGTGGTCATTAAAAGACTAAAATAGTAACATACTATTATTTAATTAATTATTATTTAAAGACAAAGTTTCGACCCGACTTTCTTCAGGTATTCTTCAGGAGGTTGTATGCAGTAGAGAGTTTCAGTTGAAGCTTAAAAAGTTCAGTTTGTTGCTATTTTAGTCTTTTTATGACCGCCATTCAGGACCATCGTCTTATCCTATAATAATTATAAAATTATTTTTTCTTATTTTCTATCCTATCCTGTCTAATAGAAAAAAAAATTAGATAGTATAGATGATAGTTGTTGTGGGATGTAACGCATACCTGTTCTACAACTCATTGCTAATATTAACACAGTTACCATTTCTTCATGAATTGTGCACACTTCTTTTTACCTTATGGATATAGAGCCAGACGTATTCATTTAATCTGACACTGTAAAGCTACGGAGCCTTTATTGAGAAAGTACTAACTGTCCCTAACCATGAAATGATCACTAGTTACTTTACGCGATGATTCAGGTAAAAAATCGAAAATTGAGTTAGGTTCTTAAAGAAGCTAGCCCAAAAAAGTAGGTTTGTTGTGCAAAAGGTGTAGTAACTTTGATTTTAAGATAAGTTAAATGTCAGGATCCCTTCATTAAGAAACATGTTTTCGAACTTCATCCCTTTTTGCGTTTTCCGCCATCATGAAAAAATCGCTATGGAAAAGTAGACATACAGTCCTGTGAAAATATATGAACCCAACTTCTAAAATTGAAGTATTTGTAAAATTCATTGAATATTAATGTTTTACGCTTGTTTTTATTTCATTAGATAGGTAAGAAGCTTTAAATTCCCATTGATTTGTTTGATAATTTACGAACATCAGATTCTCTAAACAAATCTTGTTTATTCTGTGAATTAGTATAAACTCAGTGTTTGTTATTGATTGTCAGGTGTATTAATAGATCAATACCATCTCAGTTTTCTTCCTGCTGTTGAAAGGAGAGTATATCGTTTCGTTTTTTATACTGAATTGTATGAATTAATCGTTTTTATTAAAACAATGCCGCGTGGAAATCAAATCACTGAAATTGAGCAGCAAATGATAATGAACCTAAGAAAAGGTGAAATGACCCAGAGGCAAATTAAGCCGCTCCCAGTGAGTAGTCAAATTCGTTTTAAATCCCGAACTAGACAATTATAATTAAAAGAAAAGAAGTTGGAAGAGCTCCAAAATTTTCCAATTATTTGAAACGGGCGATTTTGGAAGAAATCTCGGAAACAGGAGTGTCTTCTGCACAGATTGTTAGGCGATTCAATGCATGATGTGATGCAAGCTTGGTGAGGAAGTGGATAGCTGAATCAAAGTTGTTAAAGCATTGTAAGATTTTGAGAAAACCTCAGCGTAAAAACATGAATTTCAGCGACGACTACAGTTTGCTTAAAGACATATTCTAGACAGCAAAAAATAGTCAAGCGTTACTTTCAGTAATAAAAAAAAAAAAAAAATTAACATTGGTGGTCCAGATGGTTTCAATTGCTACTGGCATTTCCATAGGAAAGAAAAAAAGTTGTATTGGGGTGGCGGATTAATGGTACAGGATGCTTTTAATGAAAGGAGCAAATCTCAAATTGCATTCGTTTCCGGCTGTTAGTTATCAGAACGTTTTAGAAGAGTTATTTTTGCCGTTTATCACAATGACATTTTGAAAATTTATGGAGAATCATTGCTTAAGAATTCTACTACCTTGGGAAGCTTGAAATATAAAATATTGATGAGCTCAAGAAAATGATCACACATGATTAGACAAACATACAAGATAGTACTTCAAATAATTTAGTTAAGAAGTGTTCCCAAAAGGCTTTCAGACGCGATTAAAAAAAACATGGCAAAAGTTCTCATTATTGAAATGAATTTAGTGATTGAAGAGATAAAAAAGTTTTGAGTTTATACTTTTTACAGACTTGTTTTGTCCCAATTGTAGCTAATTCTGTCAATACGATTAAATTGTTTATTAAAATGGTAACTAAACATTTACAGTACACATTAAATAATATATTTTGTTACTCAGTTCCAAAATAAATGACTCATTGAATTTTTTTTCCTTGATTTTATATTTATTCACAGAATTGTATTTACGCTTTATTAAATCGCTTCCATTGCGTTTTAGACAAAAATATATGTTTTCTGAGTCGTTAGAGTATAATACGATAATACGTCAATGTTTCTTTCTAAAACCGCTGTTTTTCGCAGTTCAGAGAAAATTCCCATAACCAGTAGTAACCATTCTTGGCGAGGATTAAACTTATCATAAAATTCATGAAAAAATATTAATAATTACTCCTAACAGGCCCTCTAGAAATATTTAAATAACAGTTCAAGTGACAATGAACTGGAAATTAATCACTTTTGTTTAGGTTAGTTTTTTCGGGTATAAGGTGGTTGTTCTTGAGGTGTATATCGCTTTCATTTTTAAATGATTGATTAACATTAAAATATTCAGACCAAGTAAAAATAGTTCTCCTCCGTCCAGGAGCCTCTTTGATATCTTTTTAAATATAATATGATTTGTTTTTTAATTAAAAATATAACTAAAGTGTCATTACCTCATTCGAGAGTTTTGCAACCTCGAAATTCTCTTCTTCTCCTCAAAAAATCTCATAAACAAATTAATGAAAACGACTACACCTCAAGATGTTTACTTCGATTTATTTAATATTTTATCTAGATGCTTAACTTAAAAGTAATCCGGTAATGTTAAGTAAATCGATACATGAGCACTTATAGGTATAATCGTTTTAATAAATGTCTACGAGATTTTTTGTAGGCAGAGAAGAATTTCAGGGTAGCAAAACATTCAATTATGGAAATAACACTTTGGTTATATCTTAAACTAAAAAACATATTAGAATAGAAAATTGTTTAATTTAAACTAGTTGGATTTGTTCAGAACGAAACAGTCATTTTATTACTTATTATATGTATAAAAAAAAAATCATGTTTAGGAAACATCTGTTGTTCAAAATCAATAATTCGCTTAGGGCAACTGATCTTGTCCAATGTCGTTTGCTACGTCTAGTTTAGATTGACCTGAGTGAGCATGATTGACCTAAGCTTCAGAGTAATAATGTAGATAATTATTTATATCCTATTAGAATAATATTTATAAAAAACAATTATTACATTTATAAGAAAAAGAACAATGCACATTAATTATATTTATATAACTAAATTATAAAAAATAAATAAAATTACCAAGGAGTCGTCGGGTTTCAATGATTTTTGTCAAATTTAATGAATGGAATGTAATCAAACATGCTCCGAGCATCTGAAAAATCACTCATTATTTATGTTTTATTAGCAATAATAGTTTCTTGTACTATTTTCTAAATAATATAAACTACGTCTTTAAACGTCACTTACTATAGAAAGGAGAAATAGTCGGTGATACCATTCTATATCAAAGAAAGAGGATTATTATTGACGGTATAATAAATCGATTTGACTCATAATTAGGAATCAAAGAGTTATAATTAAAAAAGGTTCTCTTTGTTGGGCATAAAACATTCTTAGAAAATCACAGTGATAAATCGATTTATATAAGGTACAATTTGTGTTTGTGAAAATATTTAAAAAAAATTATTTAAACCTTTTTTATTTATCAGAAAAGTAACTTTAGGAGTTTTATTGCTATTTCAGTTTATTATTTTCAATAATGAACCATTGTAATCGAACGAAAAATTCAAAAACTTAATCGCCTCTCAAAATTTGAGGTTTTACGTTTCAGAATACGTGGAATTCGAAAAACGAATAAAAAATTGTTTGTCCGTCTTTTTTTTTTTTTTTTTTTTTTTTTTTTTGTCCTCCCCTTCCTCACCGTTAAGGCTATACGGGGTTTTCCCGGGCCAGAGGATGTGGGCGGGGATTTAAAAGACCCCTTGGCACCGGGATGAGAACTCGTGTCTATTTTTATATCATTGTCAGATATCAGGTTGCCGGGCAACGGCGGTGCAGTGCACACGCCTTAGCCCATTCGGCTACCCCGCCCACCTTGTTTGTCCGTCTGCCTTCCGCGCATTTCCTCCGAAACTTCTGGACCAATTTTTTTTTCAAATTCGGATTGAAAATCGGAGGTCATCCGAGGATGATCCTGCTCCATCAACATTACTATCCGCCTTTTCCTTTCAAGATGGCGGCCGAAAAACCTGCGTTGCCATAGAGTGTATCACCTAAACGAATGTATCGATTTAAATAAAACTTAGCTAAAGTAGACCGATTCCCTTTAAATTTATCTATTTAACATACTTCAACGAAAATAAGCTGGAAAAAACGTTACGAGGGATGGTAAAATTAGATTCCGAATTAGATACTCAAAAAGTATGCACTTTTTTGTTGATATTGTACGATTTATTTATTTATAAGGTTATTTATAAGTTATTTACAAGCGAACGCGTCGTCCTCGTGTTAGTTCGCCATTCCGCTTTACTGTAGCTTGTTTTGTGCTCTAGCCTGCACAGGTATACCTTTCCGGTTTATCTGTGCAGGTTTGCCTGACAAGTATATAGAAACGATTATATCCTGCCTTAGATGAAACTTTAAAGAAGGGATCACTAGTACAAAGTAATAAGTACAGAGATGTTCAATAGCTGGGCGCTGGCAGTCTCTGACATAGCCTTATCTTCATTCTCGTGACGTATCTCCGTTCCTACCGCTTTTTTTTTAGTACTATTGATCTTTATAAATAGGCATTAGAAAAATTGAGTTTTTATTTTTATTGTAGTATATCTTAAATTTTATATTTTGTATGTAATTATAAATCGGTTAATGTTTTCTGGTGCAATTTAAATGCCAAAATCATTTTATTGTAAAATAACATGTGTTTTTTTTCATGTGGACATGTTTTAGGATGATAGAATAAATGAATTAAACGTTTATTGTGAATTGTATTTAAAATTATAAAAGTGGCGCTGCGGAAATACAGAAAAAAATATATATGCCTCGAAAAAGAAACCTAAACATCTTAGAAACGGAAGATTTAACAGAAAACAAAAATTGTTGGATTACAAAAATTTAATTTTCTATTGTTCGATGCAGAAGAAGAAGAGTGGAAATATTACGAAGAACGATTTACAATTGAACTGCGAGTTCGCGGAGTCACGTTACGTGAGAGTCAAAGGGATCTCTCGCTGGCCAATATAGGCCATAAGTCTTTCAAAATACTATTTGATCACTTCAGGCCAAATAAGGTGAGCGAGAGTTCTTTAAAAAATGTATTAATCACGTTACATTCGTATTATATAAAAAAATATTTTCAATAGACGTCACAGAATGGAAACTGAATCCACTAGTGTTTACGTTAATAAATTAAAATCACTTGCTGAGAAGAGCAAATTTGTGGACTTCCTAGATGAATGATTACGGGATCAATTAATTTTAGGGATCAACGATAAATACTGGAAGGAAAAGCTCTTGGAGCGGCTCCCGGATTTAGGCTCTACTTTTACAGACGTTGTAGGAACAGCAAAGCTACTAGAGAGGACTAAATGGGCTCATCGCACACTGGAAACATCAGAGATTACCGAAATAACCTCCATATCAGGAATATAATCATGTTGATATACCAGGAATATAACTAAGGGAAACACTGTTCTAAGTGCGGAGATTGGTTTTATAAGGACAATCGACCATGTCCAGCTGAAGGAAAATGTTTTTTCCAGAACGGGTCAAAATAACAAACGACTATTCGTCACGCAAATTGACTCATATAAAAAAAGATGGTAGTCTTTCTGATGAAGCGGACACAAATTCGCATCTGAATAAAATATGAAAAGTTTCACACAGAACAAATGTGATGCTTGACATAAAAGTGCGTGGTAGAATGAATTCAGATTTACAAAGGCTAGGGATGTTATACGATCCGGGAGCTGCTGAGTTTGCTATTAGTAAGCGAACGTGGAATAAGTTAGGATCACCATTTAGGAACTTCATCCCACACGTAACATTATTGCTTCCATAAATTTACAGCTAGTAACACTAAGAAAACTGAAGTTGAGGTTAATGCTTTAGGAAAGACACTCAATCTGACCTTTACCGTTATACAAGAAGGATGAAAATACAATGTTCTGTATGGACTTGGGGCACGTATTTGTCATCAAAAACTAAATGTAGAAGGTAAGAAATTTAATAGTTTTTTGGATAAGATATTATCCATATTTAAAGAGGTTTTCTTACCAAGTTTAGGCAAAACAAAAAAAAAACAATAAAGCGGTCGTTCACTTGAAGGAATGATGCTCAACCGAAAGTATTTAAACCTGGACCAGTCCAATTTGCTCTTCGTGGGAGTGGAAGTGTTTAAGGAAATTCTCCGTTTGGTAGATCAAGAGGTTTTTGAACCAATTGATACGAATGTCAAAGCTACTGAGTTGGCGTCACACATTTTAATCGTCATCAAACCAACAGGTAAAATAAGGATTTAAGTAGATTTTAGGTAACAATATATCCTTACATCTCAAGTTATCAACACCCAACACCGCTTTTCGAAGATATTATAGCCACGCTTCAATGAGGTAAGGTTTTTTCATTTCTTGATATGCGTGATGCCTATTTACAGATTTCCAATAGACGTAAACTCACAAAAATAATTTATAATTTCAACACACTTAGGTTATTTTAAATATAAAAGCCTAAAATTTGGAACAAATTTCGCACCGGAAAAAATCAACAGATTATGGATCAAAAGATGACAGGACTAGAAGTAGATGATCTAATTATTAGCGGGAAAGATGAAGAAGAACATCTCAAACGTTTAGAGACGGTTTTAGAGAGACTGTCTACGGCAGGTATGAAATTAAACAGGGGAAAATGCAAATTTTTAATACAATTAGTCGTTTTTCTTGGCCACAGGATAGATAAATATGGTATTCAAAACAAACGAACTTCTATGTGTTGCGATGAAACCTATGCCCTCGCCATCAAATGTCAAGAAGGTACATCCATTCCTCGGATCTATTAATTATTATCAAAGATTCGTACCAAATCTCCATGGTGAAGATGTACTCTGTTACACAGAGTGTCAAGGAAAGGAATAAAATGGAGTTGGAGGGATAGTGAAGAAACAGTATTTACTTCCTTAATGGATACGCTAACATCATCGGCAACACTTGTACATTAAAACCCACAATTACTTTTAGTAGCATCGTCAGATGCGAAAGAAGGCGGATTAGGCGCGGTTCTAAGCCATAGATTTAATGTTGCTTTAATTTAATGAATTTATAATTTATAATAAATTTAAATTTAATAAAAAAAACAGCTCCTTATCACCCCAAATCTAAAGGATTCGCCGAACGTTATGTGCAGACATTTAAAAGGTGTTTTTCGGCTTCGGAAAGAGTGATAAAATAGACATACAGGAACGTTTAACGAGATTTTTTTTTCGCTACAAAACAACTCCAAATAAAACTACAATAAGAACTCCAGTGGAAATTCTTTTCATGCGCCAGTTACAAACTCGTTTTACTTAGATGAAGCTAGACCTATGTCGAGATCTGGAAAAAGCACTCAGAAGAAGCTAAGTGACAAAAAGTTTCGATGCCTGTCAGATTGTATGGGTTATCAAATATCCTACTGCCGGAAAGTAGACGTACGTGGAAGGAGTCGTCAAAAAATGTATAGGTGTATTTTTTTTTACCTATTTGTCGACGTTGAAGGGAAAACGCTCAAAAGACACGCTGAGCAACTACGTGACGGGGAAAGACGGACAAATGCAAGGCGATAACCTATTTATTTATTTTTTTAGAAGGGGAGATGTAATGCATCCTAAATCATATATTTTGTGTGTTTTAGCGGAATTTAAATTAGTTCATGTTTGCTTTTACAATTTAAATGCCTTAACTATTTTATTGTATAATAAGATGTGTTAAGACAAGTTTTTGGATGATCGAATAAATAAATTGTGTGCATTGTATTTAAAAATACAACACTGTCATCACAACCTATGGCGATGACACATGTATCCTGTCAATCAATAACGATCCATCTATTGCATCCCAAACTCTTCAATCATACATCACAAGTCTTGAAAAATGGTGCCAAAACTGGAGGATTAAAATAAATTCCCATAAATCCTATCAAATTACCTTTACTCTTCGTCGTAAACCTATGACTTCCTGTCCTATAGTATCCTTTGACAATACCCCACTTATTGTTGTTAACCAAATCCGATACCTAGAACTCCACCTTGACAAACGACTCACTTGGAACTCCCATACCAGACTGAAACGACGTTTCCAACAACTCCAGCACTTACTAGACAAACGCTCTAAATACTAGACAGACGCTGCCAACTATTTGCAAAAGACTCATATATATTACTATAATAAGGCCTATTTGGACTTACGGGATAGAGCTTTGGGGCTGTACTAAGCCATCAAATTCCTCTCGTATGCAATCCCTACAATCCAAAATCCTGCGTAAAATCCTCAATGCTCCCTACTTTGTCACAAATAAAATCATCCATAATGACCTAAATGTAGCATATGTTTCCGATTAAGCTCAATCCAGACACCAGTCCTTTTATAATAAACTTCTGAACCATCCGAACCCTCTCGTTTCCAATCTTGCTTCCTCTTCTATTCCTGATAACCTGATGGCCTGGGGACCTTTCTAATATAGAAATATAATTGGAGTGCAACCAATGGGTAGTTTCTCTTCATGTTGTACATGTCATGCTACTTGTTGTATTTATTATTTAATACAGTTTTAAAATTTCTTTAATAAAAAAAAAATACAAAAGTTATAATATAATCTTTACCGACGAATACAAATTGAAACTTCATATAAGTACCCAATTGATTTTTAGTACCCGAACTTCAGCTGTCTTAATTATGTAACGCAAATATTAACATTATAAGAAATCGAAGATAGCTAATTTTTTCATCGAACATATTTTCACGATAATTAGTTATACAACCCTTTTCTTAGTAAAAAAAATTTCAACACCACCTTTGGTACAATTGATTTTCTCATGAGGAGCAAGTTCATTGTTCACACTTTACAAAAAAAGCAAATCAATTGCGGAACATAAATCAAGAGAGTAGACTTTTTTTCATATTTGTTCATAAAAAGAGAAAAACTAAACTTGAAAATTTTTTAAGAATTTCGTAGAAAATTCAAGCTTGTGCAGTGTATTCTGTCCATCCATTTATTCTTTGATAATTTTGTTTTTGTATTAGAAATTTTCAAATAACTTGGAAAATGGAAGGTTGTGTCATTATCAACTATTGCCATTAAGTACTAAAATGTATAGCACAGTTTATGCAAATCTCTGGATTTCAATCAAGCAAAGTGATCCAGTGATCCAGCCTTGGGTAGCCAATAGCATTAATGGCTTATGGTAGACCTGAGAAACTAGGGAGATGTATTATCCAGAACAATGACATACAGCTCCGCCATAGGAGAGAGATATGATGACATTTAATCAGGAGGGACATCTGCTGATATAATGCTTTGGCGGCCCGTGAGTAGTTTAATCTCCAGTAACAAACGCCTGCGATTACTTGTGTGTCATCGCCAGGGGCTTTCCTAATCATATTCGTCTCGAGGCAATGTCGCAAACTGGAGTTGATAGTGTTTACACCTTACATGGTGTTTTCTTAATAGATCTAAACCTGAGGATCATATTTATTTTTAATTTAAGGTATATGTTTAAAGCATATTTTTTAAAAGTGTTGTGATTCCGACTAATATGAGACGAGAGGCACACAAAAACGTACAGGATAAGGGTTGAGGTTGAAGGACAGAAAGACAAAAAGACATTGTGCTCTTGAAACAAGTTAGAACAACAACTTTTATTAACCGTAAGAAAAGTTATACAAAAAAGTATCATTTGTTCAATACAGATGTTAAAGATATAATAGATCACCATGTGACGTCACAACAAAAAGTATAATGTATTCAATTTGCATAATAATGCAAAAACATGAGTGAAACAACAGACAATACGTTACGTTCCATATTTTATGATAATGTATCTACTTCATCCGATTCTAATTAATACTGCATTTCATCTTTTCAGTAAAATAAAATAATAAAACAAACACTACCAGTATGATGTATAAGAGTAAGTAAGTATGGATAAGGCAAGTAACTTGGAATACTTGAAGTAAGTTGAACTTGAAACCAGATCTATTTCCTGCTTCTCTTCATAAAACTATTTAGGTGCTGTCGCTTTGCTAAGTTATTTCAGTCTTTTAGTCTCAAGGAAATTTATATTTAGTTTATCTAATATTAGACTAAGTTCATCTAAACTCGTGTTTTTGATCCGGTATATACCTATCAACCAAAAGAAAGTTCGTCATCATATATCACTTGATTTAATTCCATTCAAAAGATTCTGCTTGTTTTTACAAGGCTAGCAGTTATGTGCGATAAGACAGATAGTACTTATAGTAGAATAGCCTACGTAATTGTGAATTATACTCCATAATTTATTTTGTAGTTAATTAAAAATTGTCTAAATAAAGTTAATTTTATGTTAACAAGAACATTGTCATATATTGTATTAAGAAAAGCAACTATATCTTTGAAATGGATATGGAGAGATATTTTTAATGAAAAGGTAAAAAAAAAAATAGCCTTCATTTCTCGAAAACAGCATTTAGCTGACTTGTAGATTGTTTTGAGATAATTTCAGAAATCTCGCAGATATCAGCCATTTTTAACATATATTACACAAGTCTGAAAAAGGAGGATAAAATGCCTTTCGGCATATCTCTCTGACATCGTAGCTCTCAATCAGGATATATTTTGGATATCATTCAGCTGATATTTTGTTGGCTGAGATGATTTTTTCGCCCATTATGTCCTTATATTACATTTGGTAGTAGACCACAGCTGAATTGGGTTTTTCTTACAAGTTAATTTAAAATGTTCCTGATGTCAGTTTCTTGGGTTTTATTTCAACATTCATTAATTACCTCTCCATAACGGCTTAAAAATAATCTTAAACACTCAACAACAACAGTAAAGCATAGTGACGCTATTCAGAGGTACATGATCTCAATTCTTATGGGTGTTTGGATGCATTGGAACTTTCCGTGGTAGAAACAAAGCGTTTGTGGAGCAGGCTTTTTTTTGGAAATTTGAGGTATTTCAATACTCTTCAACACGGTGGGCGGGGTGGCTGAACGGACTAACGTGTATGCACAGCACCGCCATTGCCCGGCAACCTGATATATCAGACAATGGATTTAAAGTAGTCGGGGAAGTCTTTTAAATCCCCGCCCATACCTCCTGGCCCTGGAAAACCCCGTATGTCCTTAAAGGCGAGGAAGGGAGAACACAAAAAAATGTTTTTTTTTTGTTTGTTTGTTTTTTTAACTAAAGATCTTTAGCGTAGCACAAAGGATGAAACCACCTGACGAAAACCATGTTTAACTTATTTCTTGATAAAAATTGAGCAAGCCGTTTGTGTGATAAGGCTATTCACTAATAATTCTGCAATACTAAATGTTTCTATTGTAGTACAGTTACAAAGAAGTCAAATCTCTCCAACATTTTACGTATTTCAATACATCATTTATTTACTATTAATAAATCATCAGGGTATAAATAAATATATTAGAATATAAAATACACTCACGAATTCTAGTGTTCCAACGATGAAAGTCCTCAACCTCAAACTTATAATATGGGTGCTTCCTTGCTCCCTACCTCCGTCCATTAGTTAGCATTGTAGGATTATCAATAATTTGGAATGAATAATAATGTTAAATTATTATACTCTATAAAACTATAAGCACTATATATCCAGGGTCATACCACAATTGTAAATGTAACATATGATTCATAACAAATTATGAGTCTTTACTTGATTATTGTTGTTTGGATTGTATGTTGGGGAATAAAGGCAAATGTTGGTGTTTGGAAAGAAAAGCTACTTATAAATGGCTACTTCTAAAAGACTGTGGTACTAGTGAATCCCAGCAATGACATTGCTATTTGACCGCCGTCGCTGTCATGCAAAGGTCGCCGATGTTTCAAAGAATGAAATACGTTTATAGGTGCTCAGAACGGATACGAAACAGATTATGTATGATTTCTCTGATTGGTTTTCAGGAAAATTAATGTAATTCAAATGTTTTTTTGTGATATCGGTAGAAAAGTCATGATTTTCTATTTTAAATAATTGGCAACATTGCATAGATTGTCTTTACTCTACTACTCTTCCGTTCCATCTAAAATAGGGGCCCATCACTATCTTTCTTGACAATGCCTTTGATGTATTGTCAATTTAATTTTATTAATTTCGTTGTCTTTATGTTATCGTAACCTTTATGTCAGTATAATCTCTAAATGCATCTATTATTTAGTTCTATTCTTAAATCTAAAGCAACATGTTCAATAATTGGCAATAAGCTAATAGGTAGTTGTGAGTTCTTGCGCAAAACCATGACCAAGACTGAGTAGGCAAGACCAAGACCAATGCCAAGACTAGGTGTGTTAACGCAACACTAAGACCGACCAAGTCTCGTCTTGGTCTTGCATTTCGGCAAAACCGACAAAAGTTCTACCGTCTTCGCAATAATGAGATAGTTGAAGATTTCATGACCGTCAATGTCAGGGTCGGGGGATCCGATCTTCATGGGAAAAATGTCAAGATAATTATAAGAGATTATGGATGGAAAAGGAACTATATGGTCGGTTCTATCAGGAGTTGGATTAGTCTGGAGTCGATAACGACTCTTCAGTTAATTCAGCAGAGACTAACTGAATTTTGGTTGAAACAGAAGAGTTGTACACAGAAGACATTACACAAGACCAAGGCCTTATCGGTGACAATCTCAAAGGAGAACGTTCCAGTCAAATAAAGGTTTCCTATGCTTGAAGTCTCACGAATCTATTCAGCATGTGACTCCTGGCTATTACAGACTATTTGATGAGACGCAATAATGAGGCAACGCTAGATCATCAAATCATCTGTGTATGATTGAGATTACTGGTCTAGATTATGTTATCTATAATGATTCTATACTATCATAATACGACCGAAAAAAGTCGGAAATGCAAATAAAAAAGCCTAATGGGATCATAAAACTGTACTTTAGATGATGTAAGCTACTTTAGAGGAACAAATTTTAAAAATTCACCTTTTAAGAATTTACAAATGCAAGTTTTCATCAATAGAACGAGTTGTAAATCATTTTTTTTTTTTTGTTTATATTTCTTTATTGAATATTAATACATTCTGCCACATTAAAGGGCATTAATATTAAGGCTACATTATTCATTAACACAATATGTACATACAATTAATATTTCAATAATAAAGAAAAAGAAATATAAAGAAATAAAATAAGTAAAATAAATAAATAAAATAAGTAAATGTAAATCATAGAGTCTTTTTCAAGAAAAAGTAAAGAAGTGAAAAAACAATCATTTAAACTGACATCTCCACTAAGTCGATTTTAATAATAAGACATCCTAGGCATGTACTTATTTTAAGTATTTAAGTAAAGTTTCGTACAATTAAACGTTTTCTAACCAGGCTGTTTACATGCAGATTCATACACATAGAATATTTTGAATTACTCGGTCACTTAGCCACACGAGATCTAGAAACGTTGAAAAGTCGGATTTGTAATTTATATAATCGTAATTGTTTTTCTTACTATATATTTCATACATAGGTAGGTAAAAGCAATAATTAATAACTACGAAATTCGTTTAGTGGAGGTTATAATTACAAAATACATTACAATCATGGGATTTAAGCTTGACTAAAACTCATTTCTTATATTTATTTTTATGTCCATCCGGATATTCCAAAAGAATTAAATTTCTTTCGGACTTGGATAACATAGGCAACTAATAGGTTTGTTTTTTTGTGTAGGTCTCCTTCATCCCAAAGAAAATCTGCTTTTCCCTTTCCAAGAAATTGCCACTCATTAATCTACAAAATTTACAAGAAAAGTATTTCCATCATAGCAATTGAATAACCATTCAAAATGTTTGAATTGTTCATTCGTTTTCGTTTTAGCATCCAGAATAAACACATGAAAATAACCATAACATCAAATATCACCGGCCAAGTAATCGTAAAAGTATGGGTAATAAAATTCCTTGGAAAAGTAGTAAAATTGCTTTCTATGATATCATAGTTTAAGACAGTATCTCTTTTAAGGTTGGTAGTTGGAGGCTTAATAAAAAAGTTTTTAAGCAGCAATAGTCAAATGATGGTGATTCAAAAAACTTTATACAGTCGGTACTTATCGTATTCCAAATTTATACTGTAGCTGCGGGTCAGTTATAAAATCTAAAAATTCATTTAAAAACAAGATAACAAGATTAAAAGATACATTTAATGCTGAGATAAATATAATTTTCTGACAAAATGGGAATTTGTTTAAAATTTTAAAGAAAAAAAAATATTAAAATGTAATTAAGCATTTTCTCTTACCAAAGAAATGTTTATTTTTTCAGACAAAGATCATGAATTCATGAGATCAGTAATTTTTTTTTGCCCTCTCTTTTTAGGCTTTGCCCCCTGTAATAGCCCTGTATTCCCTATTCTACCGAGCCAGGGAAGAGGGCGGGGAATTTATGCCAGAGTTAATTCCTTTATCTATATATGAAATATTTAGTAAGGGAAAGTATTGCAATCGTGAAAATTTACGTATATTACGTATTTTAAATAGATATACCAGGCATATGTTACAGCAACTTTATTGCTTATATAGACATTAAATAAAAAAAAAATTATACTTTTATACTGCTTTGAAGAGCAATAATTCAGCTTTTTAACGGATATATTAACATCGAGTTCGGAAAACATCCTGAAGAGTTATGAATGATATATCTATAGTACATTGAATTTTATTTCACCCTGAAAAACCGAAAGGAATTATTTGCCAGCCCATTACTTTCAAACCTCCCTAAGTAAATATGAGTCTTTCAGTTGAAAGAATGAACCCGAACTCCAATTTCAACATTCTTTATTATTAATTTTAGTGATGTTTTCAGTGGAAAAATGTATACCTTTATTCACAGTTCTATATTTCAACACTTCAATCGCCTACTCTGGAATCTACCCACTCACTGTCTCTATAGATATAATTTTTCCAACTAGAAATATCTCTAAAATAATATTACTCAAAGATGTTGAAATTGGAGTAAGTCATTCTGTCAACTGAAAGGCTCAGAGACTGAAGTTATGTGGTTTAAGAAAGCAGATGGAGTAACTAGCTTTTTATTGCCTTCCGTCAATATAATAAATAGAGATTTTGTTATTTTAATAGTCTTAATGATTCGTTATCTGTAAGCTTTAGTTTCATTTAAAATGAACATCAAAAGTTTTATAATAGCCCAAAATTGCCAGAAAATAATTTCTATTCAAGCGGTAAGTGTGAGTTGTGTGTTTCTCGCACCAGTTTTTTTATTTGAAATAACTTTCCATTTCACATTGTAATCTGCTATGGAAAATGGTTAAATATAAAATGTGAAAGAATTTTATAATTAAATAAAGGAATTTAAATTATTACATTAGTAAGAAATAATAAGGATCGTAGTAGAGAACCGAAGAAACCTTGGAAAGCTTGGCCGAAAGTTTAGGATAGGTTTTCATATGTAACACATGCATTAAATATTTTAAATAATTTATTCAAATTGTATTTGGTACCGTGCTGCGAGAAGACTAATGGCGGAAGTCAAGAGTCAAGAGGCGTTTATAAATAAATAAATAAATAATATATATATATACTTTATTTTAGTATCTTCTGTGATTTTTACTTTCATTTCCTTTTATCTAAAAATTTGCTGAAAAAGGATGGTAAGTGAAATGCACGGGTGCATATCCAGTGTACCGCACTAGATATTTTTATTTGTATTCCATACGCTAGTTCATGTTATTTCAAAATTCATTATCATGGTATTCTGTACCATAATTTCTGTAAATAATTTAGTTTGATTTTGTCCCCTCTATGAACGTTATATATTTGAAATTTAGCGTTATTGTAAATATATTATTTCTCATTTTTTTTTTTTTTTCTATGACAGAAAGGAAACGGTTTCATCAGTACGGTCTCATGGAATATAGAATCATTCACTGAAATTTCATTAGTTGGTACAGGTTTCTATTACCTCAAAGGCCAAGAATAATGAGGCAACACATAGTCCGGAATCTGCCGAAGATTTAACTACGTGATCAGAGGCAGAAGGTTTGAAAATTGAAACAGAGATGACAACCCTAATGCCAAAACTCCTCGAGTCAGACGGCTAACTGGAAACGTTTGGTTATGGTAGAATTTAAAAAATCGAAAAAACTGCCAATAATTACGTGATCAGCAGCCGGAAAAAAACCTACTGGAGTAGTTTCAGACAAATCAGTAGATGACAGATTAAAAAAAGTCTGACAAAATTTTGGAAGCTTTACACGAATCTGACAGCTTTAAAAATCTCAAAAAGTCCCAGAAATTGATACGTGATCAGCAGCAAGAAAAAATCTGTTAGAACACTTTCAGAGCACAGTAATTTTATTATTATTATTTCATAAAATCTGAATAACTGTTTTGGAAGCTATTCACGTATCTGACATGGAAATTTGAAAAGTTTACCAAAGAACATGCGATCAGCATCAGGCAAAAAACAGTTGGAATAGTTTTATGCCACTTAGTAGGTAACTAATTTGATAAAATCTGACAACATTTCGGAAACTTTTCACGAATT